AGAATCGAATCCTACATCAGGCTCTCTGCTCAGTGGGGAGTCTGCTTCTCCCTCTCACCCTCCCCCATCTCATGCTGTCTCTCTCACTCTCTTTCTCAAATGCATAAATAAAATATTAAAAAAAAAGAAATACCATATTAACATTACTTATATTAATACATTAATATCGAAGACTATCTCAGAGTAAATGACACTACCAGGGATAAAAATACCATTTCACAAAGATTAGGTGGTCATTTTATCAAAAACATAAACAATTATAAACATTTATGCACCTAATAAAAGAGCTTCAAAATACCTGAAGCAAACCTTGATAGAATTGTAAGAAGAGATGGATAAATCCATAATTAGAGTTGGCAATTTCAATACCCTTCTTTCAATAATTGATAGATCAAGTAGAAAATCAGTAAGGATATAATAGACTTTAGCAACACAACCAGGCAAGTTCACCAGCAGACCCATACTGTAAGAAATGTGAAAAATACTTCAGGCAGAAAGAAAATGATACCATATGGAAATACGGAAACACAAAAAGGAATGACAAATACTAGAAGTGGTAACTAAGTGGGTGTTACATTGACATCAAGTCAGATAAAGGTATGACAAGAAAATAAAGCTACCAAGCAATATCCCTCATGAATGTAGTTGCAAGCATTCTTAACAAAATTTTACCAAATCAAATTCAACAATCATGACCAAGTGAAGTTGACCTCACAAATGCAAGGCTGTTTTAACATTCAAAATTCAAAATCCATATCAATAGACTAGAAAAGAAAATCATATGATCATCTTAATCAATGTCGAAAAAGCATTTGACAAACATTTTTCCTATAAAAATTTTCAGCAAATTATAAATAGTAGGGACTGCCTTAGCCTAATAAAAAAACATGTATAAAAAATCCACAGCTAACATTATCATAGTAAATGATGAGAGACCAAATACTTTCCCCTAAGATTAGGAACAAGACCAGCATGTCTGCTCTCACCACTTCTATTCAGCATGTACAGGAGGTTCTAGCCAGTGCCTTAAGGCAAGAAGAAGAAATAAAAGTAACTCAGATTGGAAAGGAAGGAGTAGGACTATCTTTATTTGCAGATGACAGAATCATCTATGCAGAAAATCTGATGGAATCTACAAAACAGAGATTGGAACTAATAAGTATATATTTAGCATGGTTGCAGGATTTAAGATCAATATAAAAATCAATTGTATTTCTATATACTAGCAATAATAAAACCTGAAATTTTAATTTCATTCTCAGCATCTCCATTAATTTTCCAAATTTCACGATATTTGACTGGAACTCAAATATATCTCAGAGTTTACAGTTTGCACCATGGCTATTACCTATTTTTTGTTGTTACAAACGGAAGCCTTTTTATTATTATTCCTTTTGTTCTCAGTAAGTTTTGAACCAAGAGTGGAATAGTAAATACTTACCTTTCTAATTTTTAATTGGAAACAAAATTCTGCTACCTGACTTAAATCTCAAATTAAACACATGGAGTAACAACTTCATTGAGAAATGTATTCTACCATTTTGTCACTATTGCCTACAGAGTGCCAGTGAGTAGAGCTGAGGGTCTAGTGTTTGGAAGAGAATAATGACCTTAATAGGATGCACCATACAAGTCCCAAGTATTATGGCAATGGCAAAAGTCACAACTCCAAAGGGTAATACATAGACACCCACCTGATTTCCTTTGGGTCCTGAAGTGACTCACCAAAGAAGCAGTAGCAGCAAGGCCAAGCATGCTTAGCAGCCACCCGATGACGCCCGAAGTGATTTGGATTACTTTGTTCGTGGAAAGCCCTAAGTGGGAAGACCTATATTTGAGTTCTGTTGGCAAGTGTTTTTGATCTAGACAACATGAAGGTGGGGGCTAGAGATCTATCAGGGCAGTTTTCTTCCAGGTTCTGATTCCTCCATTTAAATGATCTCCAGTATAATTTGTAACTTTCAAAATAATGGCACATGATTGTCAGCATCTAAGATTGAAATCTATTCCCTTTCCTTCCCCCATGAAATCAGCACAATCTCTAGAAGCCCCAAGCCTTGGTGGCATGTTCAAAAACTCTTTGTGCTGGTAGAATTTGTATAGTCTGTAGGAAAAATATTTATTGACCTTAACTCTCACCTGTAGCTCAGGTACCCCCAACCCACCTGTGAAGTTGAGTGTCACCATGTAACTGCTCTGGACTCCCAGGCCATTGTCAGCCCCACAGGAGTAATTTCCAGAATGCTCTGTGGTCAGGGAGAGGTTAAAAGATGATCCTCCTCCAAAGGGGGCTGAGGTGTTCCCCAGGATGACATCTTCATGATAAAACCAGTATAAGATCGGGGGGGAGCCTCTCTGGACCTCGCAGCGAAGTTCTAACAAATCTCCCACCATAACCTGGGCCCGAGCAGGGTTGAAGGTGAGGACAGGGCGGGACACTGGAACTGAGGGAGTAAACATAGTTCATGGGCAGTTTTAATTGAGCAAGTATACCAGATAATAAAGGAAATATCCAGCATAATTTAGTGGGAGGAATATGGACCTGGGATCAGGACATGTCCTACCTGTGACCCTGAGTGGTACCACCTCGCTGTGCTGGGCCCCCAGGCTGTTGTCGGCCTCACATGAGTAGTTTCCAGAATGTTCTGTGGTCAGAGAGAGGTTGAAGGACACTCCTCCTCCAGACGGGGCCGAGCTGCTCCCCAGGGTGACATCCTCGTGATAAAACCGGTACAGGATTGGGGGAGAGCCCCTCTGGGCCTCACAGTGAAGCTCCACCACGTCCCCCACCACGGCCCGGGTCCCGGGAGTCCTGAGGGTGAGGACGGGGCGGGACGCTGGAACTGAGGGAGATAGGGGGCAGTCAGAAAGAGTCCCTGACACTGTGACAGATTAATGGCTCCACTCAAGGAACCTAAAAGTAGATGGATTCCTTGAACCATGAGGAGGGATGTTAGATGATTTTGTTTTCATTACCACTCAGTCTTCTCCACAAGAAGTAAATTGTCTCACATTACTTTCCACTTTTGCCATTCCTTGTTGGCATTTAAATCTTCATGCCTCTGTTCCTTGCCTCCTTCAGAAGATCCTAGTGGCTGACAGAGAACCTAAACCCTGGCTTGGGAACAAGGTTGAGTGAAAGAAGGAGGAACTTACTTCTCAGTGTGACTCTGATCCGTTTACTGAGGATGGGGCCATAGAAGTTGTCGGCTGAGCAGTAGTACCTCCCAGCATCCTGCTCCCTCACGGCGGCTATCCGCAGCTCTGCTGACAGGGCACGCTGAATCTTCCTGCCCAAGTTCCTCTCTGTGCCCTCCCGGTGCCAGGAGAACGTGATAGTCCCTGTACCCTTGGCTACTGAGCAGATAAGGACCAGATCTTCTCCTTCAATCAGCTGGCCCCCAGGGGGCTGGATCTCTAGATTCACATCAGACACAGGGATCCCTAGGAGGACAGAGAAGGTCTTGAGAGGGTCTCAAAGGCAGGTGCTGCAGGGCCAAGGGGAAGGCTGGGGTTGCCACGAATAAGCCAATAGCAACAGGTCTAAAGTGGGAAATAAGGACTTGATTGTGTACATTCTTATGAAGGGAGCAGTACCTGTCCCCACACACAATAGTTACCATCCTTGGGTAATGTGGGGACCAGGTCTATCTTCTTTTTAAACTTAGCATTGACCACAGTCAAATTTTACAGACCTTTATCTCTAAGGCATCTCTGATGTATCAATGGACCACAAAGAGAGAGAACAGGGAAGGTTCCTTGTATCCTGAAGTGACTTGATTCAGATCCCAAACCTCTCTCCATCCACCAAGCCTCCTCCAGTTGATTCAGATCCCAAACCTCTCTCCATCCTCCAAAGCTCCTCCACTCTCAGCACCACCTCCCCTCCTTCTTCTCTATTTCAGTTTGTGTTTATCGTCCTCTTTTCTTATTATTTTGGAATAATTTTCGGTCGACACATGGACAGCCCCATAGGGGCCTCTACAGACTTTGCGTGGTCATTGGTGCTTTTTGGTAACTGTTGACCCATGAGAAAATGTACCCTGTATGTCTTTGAGGCCCCCACATGTTGGACACCCAGTAAGTGATCAATAACGACTAACACCTAACTTCGATGGGAGAGAATGTTATAGGGAAGTTAGGCCAACGTTGAACCTAAGAGAAAAGGATAGCGGGATGGCTGGCAGCTCCTTTCTGCCATGTTCACTATCTCAGGGAGCAGGTGAAGTCATGCTCTGCTCTCATCTCCCAGTCCTCACTCTGGAAAAGCTGCCCCACAGACACTCAACTCTGCACACGTATCCAGGATCTCAGGCTTTTTTTTATGATATTGGGAGTCACTGCCTTTGCCTGGCACCAGTAGGACCCTGAGTCTTCACTCCACATGGTGAGGATCTGGAGCTCCGGTGAGTCGATCCAGCCAGATCCTAGGACCTTATCTTCTCTGAAGAAACAGAACTGAAGCTGAATGTGTGACCTCAGTGGAGGGAGCCAGGTCTCACATTTCAGGCTCACTGGGCTCCCCTCGATGGGCTGGGAGGAGCTGGCTCTCAGCACAGGATGTGGAAACAGCTCTAGAGAGAACAAACACAGTTTCCAGGGCAGTGAGGCTCCGAGCTCCTGGAGAGATGCATCTGTGTTCTAAGCAGAGCATCAGGAGGTAGGGACCCATGGAGATGGAACCACCTCCCATCTCCTTCCCATGGCTGCTCAGAAGAGGCTTCTCATGAAGTCCCCACTGATGAGTACTCCCTCTTTGATCCTCACACACTTCCCCTGCCAAGACCTATTACCCACAGGAGTGTAGCCATTACCTTGAACTTGGATCTTTAAAGGTTTGGAAGTTGTTTTCCATGGCCTCCATAAATATCCCCCAGAAGCAGTACAATGATATTTGCTATTGTCCCTGGATACTGAATGTAGTCTTATGACTTCTGGGTTATAATCATGCGTAATTCCTTTGTTATTTCTGTAGTAAATCTTTTCATTAATATCTTCTTCTTTCTTCCCCCGGCATCTCAGATATACATCATCTCCTTCAAAGACAGGGTGAGAAGCCTGGAGGATCAGCCAGTCTGCAAAGAGTGAACAAACATATTCCATCTCTTTCTTTCTTCAAACTCTCACTTCTACCCATGAGAGAAGAGCTACAGCCCTGCAAACACCAGTAAATGTCTTCCACCACCATTTCATGTGGCCCCAATACCCAATACTCCCTTGTCCTCAATAGTGAACTAATTTTCAGAAAACATACTTAAGAGATCCTCCTATGTATCATTAAAAGAGGAATTTTCTACCATATCTTTCTTCAGACCTGAGTCCCTTTTTGTCTGGTGGCTTCTGGGTTACTAATGTGTCTCTGGATGGAGGAGATGGACAGTGTGCTATCCTCCACAGCCCTATCTCCTCATTCTCCCCACTGGGATCAGCTCATCAGATATCCTCATGTCTGCTTACAACTCTGTCTGGGTTCCCTGCATTCACCCAACCTTCCGACATGTGCCCAGCAGCTTGATTTCAGAAACTCACCCCTTTCTTTCCTCACCAGATAAAAATTCCACATGCACGGGGTCACTGAGGGAGGATCTTTGGGTCTTGCATGAGTAATGTGCAGACGTCTTTATTTGGATTGTTTCAGGTCCTCTTGTCCATAAATCCCCATTGTAATACCAAGATATGTATCCGGGGACCAGAGAATGGTGATCCTTGCAGGTGAGAGTCACTTTCTCTCCTTTGAAGGTTGTGGACCATGGAGGTGTGAGGAGAAGAAAAGCTTTTGGGAATGTTGCTGAACCGGAAAGAGAAAGGTGCAGGCAGGTGAAGGTGAATGGGAAGTGGGTTGAACCCAGGGGAAGGCCCAACCTGCAGCTGGGCTGATTCCCACTGGGAAGGGAGCAGATACAACCTGGGGACATGCCTGGGGCAGAACTTGCTCTTCCTCATCCTTTGCCTAGCCCAGAAGTGGGCAGGTAGGTGTCATAGGGGAGAGGTCTCAGGTCCCTGGGGTGGGCTCAGAAAAGCTCGGGAGATGGGATGTGTAGCTGGGGACACACTATGAGGGCCTCTGTAGGTGGCTGATTTTGAAATGCTCTTGTCCTGTACATTCCTGTCAAGGTATAGGTGGGCCTGGGATGTAGTTTCTAAACTCTGAAAAACCACTTCCTACTTGATTGCTCATATATAATGAACATTTTTTTTCCTGCTAACTTTGTTTAACTTGAGATTCTATGGAGAAGACAACCTTTGTCTACACTCCATCTAAGTCAGACACAATAAAAGATTAAAGGGTATAAAGAATTTGAATGGAGAGGCATGGGCTACTTGGGAAATCATCTTTGTATGTAAGATTGCAACTGACAAATGGGACCAGAAATTGAAGCGGGATAGCAACATGAACTCCCTTGGAGGTGTATAAAGATTTGGCTGCAGCACTTGTTCTGTGAATGGGAGCTGTTTTTCTGTCCTTTGATGGTGGCTCTAGCTTGAATATACAGGTGTGGGGGGATGGTCCTTAGGGAAGAAAAGAGACAGTTGGAAGGTTCTGGGCATTAGCCTCTTGTCTCTGCAAATGCTTCCTTGCCCTGCACTGATGCGGAAAGAACTGAAGGCTGCAGAGATCACGGGAGGTTCTGCTCACGCGCCATGGTAACAGGTGTGACCCCAGAGGGGCAGCACCACTCCTGCTGGCACATCCCCTCAGCCTGCATTTATGGGGACAGGCGTGCTGGCCAGGAGGACCAATGCCCAGAGAGCAGGAAGGAAAGAGAACGGAAGACTGACCTGGCTGCTCTTGTCCGGAAGCTGTGAGAGAGCCAAGGGTTAAAGGTTAGCATGGGGTGATGCTGTTCCATCGCTTCCTTAGACTCTGAGAAATGCCCCAGCATCCCAGCCACAGCCCCTTCTCAGGCTCTTCCTCCCATCCCTTCCCCCACATTCCATACCTCCCATAGCGCCCAAACAAAAACAGCCTATGATTTATGGAATGAACGCGAATGTCTCGTACCCACACCCCTGGTCTCCCTGCTATGCACATAGTAGCTTGTGCTCGCTCTCCCTCTCTTCTCCGGCCTGAACTGGGGCAGGGCAGAAGCAGAGAAGGGCTGGGAGAGATGCCTTATCTCCCCCCTCAACCTCACTTCTTGGGCGCTGTTCCCCCTACTTTTTCTTTCTTTTTTTAAAAGATTTTATTTATTTATTTGAGAGAGCGAGAGCGAGAGAGAGCACAAGGAGGGGAAGAGGCAGAGGGAGAGAGAAGCAGACTCCCAGCTGAGCAGAGAGCCCTGACATGGGGCTCAATCCCAGGACCCTGGGATCAAGACCTGAGCTGAAGGCAGACGCTTAACGACTGAGTCACCCAGGCACCCATCCCCCGACTTTTTCAATCTCTGGTTAAATATTGGCTTAAAATCTCAGGAAGGGAGCTGTATTGCTCTGCAGACCTTCCCTCCCTTGCCCATGTTGGCAGTAATTGTTTCTCTGAGGGTTTAGAGGTGTGGTTTGGCAGAGAGAAAAATCCCAGCTTCCTGTGAGGTGGGAGAGGGACCAGGCAGGAAGCCAAGGGGCCACAAAAGACTCCAAGGTCTCTGGAGCCTTTTGGTTTTCCTGGAAACCTGGCTCTGCTCACTTTCCACCTCCTGCTGTGTCTCTGAAGCCCAAGTGGAAGCGGAGGCAGAAGCCCCCTGGGTTTCCCCCCACTGGCTGACATTAGGAACTTAGGCCCCTGTCCCTGTGTGGCCCCTACTCACCCAGGGTCAGCAGCAGCAGCTGCAGAAGCCTGGCGACCCGGCCTGGCCGATGGCAGGGAAAGTTCATCTCACCAGAGGCCAGGCTTCTCCCCCATCTGCGAAGGACGACCGGATAGTGGTACTCAGATAAGGCTCACAAGAGTTACAAAGAGGAAGTAAAATAATCATATCTTGCCTATGTTCTCAAAATGTGAATGTGGCTACCTTCCTACATGCTGCTTGTCTTTCGGGGCTGTGCCGTTTCTGATGTTGGTGGCCACCTTCCGGTGGTCCATGCCTGTCAGGAAAAACGTCTCCAAGGCTGTGCCTGGGTCCTCAGAAAATGCCAAGCTGTGGATTTTCTAGTATTTAAATAACTTTTTCTTCATTTTTCAAATGGAAACCCCCTTCCTTACCTTAAATTCATACTAACTTTTGTGTCACATGAGGTCCTAATATAGACACACTTGGTGAGTGTGGTGTCAAGGTATGTTTTATGATGTGAGCCCCACAAAGTCAAAGGGCCAAAGCAGATGTAAAAGCCTTTTGAACTTTATACAAGCTGGCCTGAGGTTGCTGAGGAGGAAAATAATAGAAATTTGCAGATTGGCTCGGTTGGTGGAGCATGCGACTCTTGATCTCAGGGTCATGAGTTCCAGCCCTATGTTTGGCGTTGAGCCTACTTAAAAAAACAAAAACAAAACCCCTCTGCAGATTAACAAAACAGGTCCCTCTAAGTGCCACTCAGACCTGCACAGATGAGGGGATGAGTGAACAAGCACACAAACAAGAACCTGTGATGTGGGGGTCTCAGCCTGTCAACAACCAGTGTTGTGTCTGGATCAGCCCCTGTGGTTCTCACCATTGCCCCCAGCAATAACCATCAGGAAACATGGTGGTGGGCGGGGGGGAGGTTTATTACTCACATGTCCTGGGAAGTACATGACACACCTGGGACCACACAGCGAGGCCACAAGCCTGGGGTTCTTCTGCTTTTATTGGGATCAAGGTGGAGGGCACTTCGGGTTTCATGGGCTTACTCTTTATCAGAGAATTTAACATAAGAGCAGGAATTTAAGTTCGTGAAGAAAAAAAAACAAAAACAAAACAAATAAGAGGTCCAAACGGTCAGTTAGTGAGATCGACTAAGATCTCTGAAACAAAGGAGCATGGGGTGGAGGGCGGTGGCTCGGTCTCAGAGGCCAGGGGCTGCCACCATGCAATGGGTGCTCTGGGCACCACAGCCTTCAGGCAGGAGCTTGCCCTATAAACGGAAACCCCCATCCACTCATATAGAAACCCTGTGTCCAATGTGGACGGTCCCCAGAGGGGCCCTCTGCAGCCTCGCGGTCCACGGGTCTTTCCTAATTATTTCCTATTTCAGCCCCAGGAACGTTTCTCATGGTTTGTCAATTTCCCTCCCCAGCTCTGGAGAGTTCTTGGCCATTATTTCCTTATCTTTGTGGTCCGTCCCTCCTTCTCCTGAAATCCTCACAATGTGGGTATTGACTTGCCTCATGGGGCTTTTTTTCCTTTTTGCTCCCCTAACTGAAGTATTTCTGGTGACCTGTTTTTGTCTCTCTAGTCCTTTCTTCTTTTGGGTCTCTAATGAGGAAAACAAAGGCAAGAGAAATCTAGCTTAAATCAAATCTTACAGCTTGCAGCCCACTGATAGATCTCTGAGACATGCAGAGCGTGACCTTCTTTGAGGAACTTGAGGCTGCCTTAATGTGGATGTTTTGCTGGAGACCAAGAGTAATCTTATCTTAACAGCAGGTAGCCCTTCAACATCTTGAAAGGCTCGCTTCAAAATTCCTTTGAAACTTACTTTATCTCTACCCCACCTTCCTCCACAAACCTAAAAGTATATAGTGTCACCCATCACAATGCAACTCTTTCTGCCCACGGGTCCTGTCCCCATGTTACAATAAAATCACTTTTTGCACCAAAAATGTCTCAAGAATTCTTCCTTAGCCATTCGCTCACAAACCCAAAACTTCAAATCACATCATTTACATCATTTGGTGTCCAACATGGGGCTTTGAGTCTGCTTATCTGGACTCTGAGCCTTGATGAAATTTGGTGACTATTTCCTCTCCTCTCCCTTTACTTTCACTCCAGGAGCTTTTCAAGGAGTATGGTCTTATTGAACACTGTCCTGTTGATTGCTCAGGCTCTAAACCTCTAGCCCGTGGCTACTCTAGGAGGAGGAGAAAGCCTGCCTTTTGGCTAGAAGTTAGTACCCTGGCCAGAATGGTAATAAGACCCAGAAACTTGATGACCTCTCTTTATTCCTGTCCTTATAGAAAGGTGTCTGTCTTGGGCATGAGACAGCTACCTAAGTGACCAGCACAGCCGCTGAACTTAAGACTCCCATGTGAGGTTTCCTCTTCATTGGTCTAATGTGATCCCCTCCACATCCTTGGCCTAGCTAGCCACTTCTGGCTGAGGAAACTCCACTCAGAACTGGCCAAAACCAGTAGTGAATAGAATTAAAACCTAACCAAGGATGTTTCCTAGAGAAATTGGCTGTGCAGACTACATGTGTTGGGATGTCACTTAGATCATGATGGATTTCTATCTTTACTGTTTTTCATCAATGTCCCCTACTGACTACTTAAGTTACAAAATTGGGTAATGTCCCCTTGTAAAGCTTTTCTGGTGTTTTCCATGGGTTAAAAAATGGCAGGTTCTTCATGGCACAGCACGGTATTTCAGTCCATGCTCTGGCACCTATTTGTAGTCTAGAATGCAATGGGGAAGGAGGGGGTCCCTGACATCCCTCCTGTGGGGCCTTTATGGAAGAATGGTGGTCAATACCAATTTCCTTTGAAGGACACCACCAGCTGCTTTTGACACCTGGAACCTCTGATATATCCTGGTGGGACACCATCCAGGAGTTGGGGGGAAATTTTTGGTAATGGACCTTCTCTACTTTTCTAGAAACATGGGATCTTCTTCTTCAGTCCCAAGACTCTCCCTTGGGATGTTTTTAACCCACTGGGATCAATTCTTTTCTAAAAAAGAAAAAAACTGGAGAGTTAAGGTGGTGGAGGAGTAGGGGACCCTATAAGCTTGTCTCTTTCCAATGCAGCTAGATAGTTATTAAATCATTCTGAACATCCGAGAAGTCAATCAGAGTTCTGAGAGAACAAAAACTGCAAGTCTGCAAGTAGAAGAGCGACTACCTTCTGGAAGGCAGGAGGTGCAGAGAGGTGACTTGGGGGAGATATAGCTGTGGATATGGCAGCAGGGAAGGAGCCTGATTTTGTAGCCTACCACAAAGTATTATAAGCAGTGGAGTGCAAAATCTGAACTGTTAGAAGTCCACTACTGTGAGGGACATGCCAGGCTTAAAGGTGCTCAGGTGGTGAAGCAGGGCAGAGCGCCAGGAGTGACAGTGTGGTCGGGTGAGGATCCCCTGGGTTGCAGGAAGAACAAGTGGTGCCAACGTGCACGCTGTTCCCAGGCATGGGTGCAGGGAAACCAGCTGAGAGCGGTGAGTTTTGGTGCTGGATTTCCATTCCACCTTGCCATGAACTGCAGACTGCTGTGTGGTTGTGCACCTGCTTTCCTGGGACTGGCCAGCACACAGCAAAAGCACAGCAAGACCCTCCCCCAGAGGAACAGTGTGGGTCTGCAATGCAGGAGTCCCTAAAATTTGGAGTTCTGAAACTCTGTTGCATGCCTGAGATAAAACAGCTCAGACGCAGGCAGGGCGAATGCAGGATTCACACGGAAACCAGGGACACAAGAAGGGTGATTGATTGCATTTCTGTAAGGGCTCACTGAAGGGCGGGGGGTGCAAACTTAACAACTCCCGTGCTAGAGAGCTGAGCACACCATATTCATCCCACCCATCAGCCCTGAAGACTTCACGGAGCAAAACAGCACCACCTAGTGGACTCCAGAGCCACTTACACTGAGTCCCGCCCCTCTGTGCCCTGGAGGTGTATCTCCACTGAAACAAGTCAGCCTGAGAATTAGCTCAACACACCCCTCCCCGAGGAGACCAGCTCAAACAACTCACTTGCACCAAGTCTACTGATCATAGAGTGTTGCAAAGCTTCAGCTCTAGGAGAAATAAGATCTAGCTTCCTTTTTACTTTTATTTTTAATTTTTTCATTTATTTTATTTTTTCAATTCCTTTTTTATTTCTTATTTTTAATTTATATATATTTTATATTTTTGTTTATTTTCATTTTATTTATTATTATTATTATTATTATTATTATTATTATTATTATTATTTTGGGACCTAGGTTCTTCTAACAAGCAGACCAAAACACACTCAGGATTTAGTTTTTTTGGTTTTTATTTTGTTTTATTTTTCGTTTTTGTTTTGTTTTATTTGTTTCTTGTGTTCTTTTCTGGACAAAATGATGAGATGGAGAAATTCACCCCAAAAGAAGAGTAGGAAGTAGAACTCATGGCCAAGGATTTAAATAATACAGATGTAAGTAAGAAGTCTGAATTAGAACTTAAAACAACAATTATAAAGATACTAGCTGGGATGGAAAAAAGCATAGAAGACACTGGAGAATCCCTTACTGCAGAGATAAAAGAGCTAAAATCCAGTCAGGCCAAAATTAAAAATGTTATAACTGAGATGCAAACCCAAATGGATGCCATAAAAACTAGGGTGGATGAAGCAGAGGAGGGGAATCAGTGATATAGGAGATAAAATTATGGAAAATAATGAAGCTGAAAAGAAGAGAGAAAGAAAGGTAATGGACCATGAAGTTAACTTAGGGAACTCAGTGACTACTTAAAACACAATAACATTCGTATCATAGGAGTCCCAGAAGATGAAGAGAGAGAAAAAGGGGCAGAAGGTTTATTCAAGAAAATTATAGCTGAACACTTCCTTAATCTGGGGAAGGACACAGACATCAAAATCCAAGAAGCACAGAGAACTCCCATTGAATTCAACAAAAGCTGACCATTGCCAAGGCATATCAGAGTCAAATTCACAAAATACACAGACAAGGAAAAAATCCTGAAAGCAGCAAGAGAAAAAAAGTCCTTAACCTACAAGGGAAGACCAGTCAGGTTCACAGCAGATCTTGACAGGCCAGAATAGAGGGACAGGGTATATTCAAAGTGCTGAATGGGAAAAATATGCAGCCAAGGATATTTTGTCCAGCGATGCTGTCATTCAGAATAGAAGGAGAGATAAAAAGTTTCCCGGGTGGTCCATACAATGGAATATTAATCAGCCATCAGAAGGGATGAATACCCAACTTTTACATCAACATGGATGGGACTGGAGGAGATTATGCTAAGTGAAATAAG